CCCCAAAACCCCAATCCCCAAAACCCCAAAACCCCAAAACCCCAAAACAATACATTTTTTATTAATATTTTATAACTGATGGCAATGTTAAGGAAAGGGACGAACAAAAATCAAGAGCTGAGTGAAATTATCGGCTCTGATGATTCCTTCTCTGAAAGTGACGATGAAAACGATCCCCTCGGAAAGCTTCGAAATGATAACGAGGACAAATACAATCTTGATAAAAGAGTTATGGCAAGGTATGGGACAGGAGTAGATCATAAAAAGAGCTTGACGAATTACTATATTAAATTTACAGGAGTTTTGATAGTATTAATCCTTATTCCAACAGAAATTGTAATCAGAAATACAATCTTCGATTTAGAGCTTGATGGTATAATAAGGGTGCAAACCAGAATTCGAGACGGAGGATCTGCCCTTTGGAATTTCTTTGACTGGTTTGCTTTTATAGTAACGTTCCCAGCAAGAAATATCTTTGTCAACTGACTTGCAGCATTTATCTATCTTGTTCTAGATCCTGTCCTCGGATTCAAGTCAGCACTTACTCTTTACTTTGGAGCTTTTGTTATTTCTATGATTAAATTATTCTATAAAGTCCCGAGACCATATTGGATGGACAGAAGAGTGACAGGGCTTGATTGATTAATGGACTTTTCTGGTCCATCAGACAGTATTTTCTTTGTCACATTCTTCTACTCATACAATCTGATAATCTTTCTTGTGCTATATTCAAAGAAGAAGCATAAAGTGTGGCTTGGAATAAGCTTAGGGTTACTCTCATTAGTCATAATCCTACAAATTTTCTTGCTTAACTTCAGAGGTACTGTGTTCTATCTAGAATCAATGATAGGAGTAGTGTACGGAGTGATCTATACAGCTATCTGACTAAGTCTTGATTCTGAAATCCACAAGATCTCTGAGTTTACAGCGTTTATCATCAAAACTAGCAAGAAATATAAATTCTATCTTCTGTTCTTCAGCTTGATACTATTCGCAATCGCCTTGGTTTACTATAATGCTGAACTGATCACTTGGAGAGCACCTCAGCTTTGGATAGTTAATTCTCAAGAAGAATGAGACTTTGATGAAAACTTTGAGATCAGGCTCGGCCTTGATGCTACCTTTCTGCACACAGCAGCTATTTTTGGACTCATTGGGCTAGGATTTGGAGCATCAATGGCAACTAAGATTGTAGATAATGTTGGATGGGCTCATACTGCTCTTTGGAAGAGAATCATTAGAGGAATTATTGGTGTAGCAATTTATGTAGGCATCTTTGTCGCGTTTTGGTTCATTCCAAGAGTTGATTTGCCAACAGCGTACTTCTTTAACCAAATTCTTCCTCATTTAGTTGCTACTTTTTCCTTATATGGTCTGATACCGATCTTGTGCAAGTATATTGGATTGATACAGCAAAGAGAGTCAGATGAAGTAAGCTCAAGCTCGAGTAGTCCTTCCCAAAGAGATAGTGCTAAAGGAAGGATCAACGGAGAAGGCTCTCCTCGCCAAGAGCCTTTGATTGAAGAAACAAAGAAGGAGGAGTAATTTATTTGTTGAAAGCATTTATCAATCTAGAACAACTCCATAGGGGTTTTGGGGTTTTGGGGTTTTGGGGTTTTGGGGTTTTGGGGTTTTGGGG